ATCACCATCACTCACAGTACTCCTCAGTGACTGTTGCGAGGAGCTCCCCAACACAGATTACCTCTGTAGTCTTTACTTCTGTGTAACATCACCCACCTTTTATGAAGCAGTCTGATCCCCTTTGTGGCCAATCCACAACCAGTGCAAACAAAGAAACTATCTTCCTTGCCTACAATTCAACATCAACTTGAGTAATAAACCAGACTTGCTACATAAATCCATACTTGGCCTTCATACGTGGATTTTGGGGTGAGGCAGGGGTACCTTTTTTAAGAACACTAATGAGACAACAAAATGTTCCAGTTTAATTATGTTCTTGTAAATTTTTAATTTTTTTTGTGTTGGGAAGTTTGCTCCAGGATTTAGAAATTTCAGAATGAGAGACCTAGTTGGCTGACAACCCAAATGCTAATGGTATGACGAAGGAGGGGAGTGAGCAAGCAGACAGAGCCCGAGAAGTAAAGTTCTTAGAAAACATTTAGGGTTTGGGGTTATGGAGATAGGAAGAGACAATGCCATAAATGATGAATATTTCAAACTATGGTGCTGAAGGACCGGGGCCAGGAGAGGTCAGTAAGTTTGAGTGATCTGGACTTGGTGGAAGATAGAATTTGGCGAGCAGAGGTTTTTGTTTTCCTCATTCGTACATGGGACGTGGGCATTGCTGTCTAGGCCAGCGTTTATTTGCCTATGCCTAATTGCCCTGAGGGCTGTTAAGGGTCAGCCACATTGCTGTTGGTCTGGAATAACATGGAGCCCAGACCAGGTAAGGATGGAAGGTAAGGATTGTTGGAAATGAGACAGGTTACCAGGGAGGTGGGCATGGAGATGGGAGCAGAGATTTGCAAGGTCTGCAAAGGGTGAGTTGCGATTCTATGGAGAACTTTGTGGCAGTTCTGAAAGGAAGACCTTTGAAAGGAGACCTTACAAGGCCTGCCTTGTAATTAAGTACAAGTTCTTGCATAAAAGGAACTATTTACATAACCAAGTGAAGAAGGGAAGATTGGTGGGAACCAATTTAGTGGCATTGACGATGACAAATTCCTTATTGATCTTCTTGAGAACTCTTAGCTCCTCAAATCACAGGCTGTTTCTCTGCCACATTTGCTGCTCGCAAGCAAGCATGGGAGAGAACTAGCCTCTGCAGTTCAAGGAGCATCTCCTCACCAACTCTGTGAACTCTGCTTGCGTTAACAACCTTTCCCTGGTCACGCCCTACCCATGAGTGGATTTCCTCAGACATTTTGGAGCCTTCCAGAGGTGAGTCCAGCTATCACTCCTGAGTATTTTGAGACCTGAAGTACCTATCTTTTTTCTGAACAGATTAAATGTTGGTTATAGCCTTAGTCTCTAACGTGTATCAATTCTTTTCCAGAAGAGTGGGTGCGGCCAATAATGAAGCGGGAGAAGCAGGTCCTCCTACATTGGGGTTATTGTCCTGACAGGTAAGTATCTAGCTTTCAGTTGCATGTTAGATTAAAGTGGCCATATGTATGTTATAGGAAAAGTTTGGAGGAAAAGTTAGTCCAGTTTGCCTTAGCTCAGTTATATAGTCAGAGACTATTAACGCAATGACACAGAAGGAGACTATTCGTCTGTTGAGTCTTCACTAGCTATCTGTACAGCAATTCAATCGGTCCTATTTGCTTGCTATATCCCTGTATCCCTTCAAGTTTATTTCCCTCAAATATCTATGCAATTTCCTTTTAAAATCATTCATCGTCTTTGCTTTCTCTACCTAGCTGGGCAGTGAATTCAAGATCATTACCACACAGTGCGCAAAGAAGTTCTATCTCAATTGTCCTCGATCCTTCCATTTCTCATTCCCCTCCTTTGCGTTTCTCACCCAGGATCTTAAATTTGTATCCCCTTGTCACTGTGCCATCATCTAATGGGGAAAGTGTGATTTTTTTTTTCTCCTGAGTTGCTGGCAGTAATCTCCTGGAGATCAGTCTTTAATTCCTGGATACTCCAGGACAACCCTGAAGGCTTAACAAACCTGCTGGCAGCCATCAAAGAGAGTTTTACAGTAACACATTCCAGAATTTTGGAGGGAGGGAGTGTTGAAGTTTATGTGCTAGTTGGAGAGGATTAAGGGTAGATGTTTTCAAGAGAATTTAAATAATGGTTTTCAAAGAGACCGAGTCAGGTTGATAATGTCAACATGCAGATAAGAATGTGGAGTTGGGAAACTAACAAGGAAAGAAATCATGTAATTTATGTGGGAGTTTTATAGTTGAATAAATGATGTGCCCAAGCTGGGGTGAGTGAGTGCTCATTTGTGTGGACAGGATGCTGGCATTTGGAGTTTTGAAGGATGAGGGGGAATCTTGTTGAAACTTAAAGAATATTGAGAGGCCTGGATAGATTGGACATGGAGAAGATGTTTCCACTAGTAGGAGAGACTAGGATCCTAGGGCACAGCCTCCGTGAAGGGACAATCCTTTAAAATTGAGATAAGGAGGAACTTCTTCAGCTGTTGGATGGTTAATCTGTGGAACTCATTGCCGCTGTGAAGGCTAAGTCATTGAGTGTATTTAAGACAGAGATAGATAGGTTCTTGATTAGTAAGGTGATTAACGGTTACGGAAGAAGGCAGGAGAATGGGATTGTGAAACATAGAGGCATGATAGAATGGTAGAGCAGACTCAATGGGCCAGATGGCCTAATTTTACTCCTGTATCTTATGGTCTTACGGAAAGTAATTCAGGGCCTGTTAAATGACACATCGATATGAATGATTTCACTTTGGATTTGAATTTGATTAATTCCTTCAATTCGGCATGAAAGATGAATGGAAGACCATGTGAGGTGATTGTTGACAGTGAAGATATCTCTGCACTGCCTGAATGTGTGTTAAAGGCAAGTTCAACCAAGTACGTTCAAAAATTAATTGGATTATTGTCTGAAAAAAAATGTGCTGTGAACGATTGGCTCCTTCAATGAGCTAGCACAGACATGACAGGCTGTGAATGGTCTTCTTCTCTGCTATATCCATTCTTTGATTTCATGATTCTGCATCAGTTGTAATAAATGCAGAATCAGATCGGTGATTTCTACATTCCGTGTAATTGCAATACATTAAAAGGATGCATGGAGCAGACTCATGACGTGGACGGTTGACTTTCTCATCCCTTCAGCTTCTCATCGTTGTCAAATTATCCCTATTCAATAGAACTGAAAGTTTAGTTAACTCATCACATGGAGATCCCACAACCAGTCCAAGTCATTGTGATAAATGGAAAACATGAACTTACGTTTCAACAATGACAAGTCAAACTGTAACAACTTTATTCATTACCAGGATGTGTAGGTATGGCTGACCGGACCAGCATTTATCGCCCCTCCCAAATTGCCCCTGAGAAAGTGGTAGTAAACTGCTGCCTTGAATGCAAATGTGTGCCTTGCTAGACATTTCAGAGAGCACTTGAATCAGCCATGTTGTGTGCATCTGGATTTGCATGTAGATAAGATCAGACTTCCTTCCCTAAAGCACGTGAGTGGGCAAAATGGGTTTTCTGTGATATGCCAGGAGTTTCATGGTGTCAATTACTGACACTAGCTTTTTATTCTGTGTTTATTTAATTTTTTTGAATTTAACTTCTCCAGAAACCATTAAATCCATGCAGGATTTGAATTTGTGCCTGTGGATTACTAATCCAGCAAAAGAGCAACTATGCTACTGTACTCTGCTTATAAACAATTGTTTATTGACTACACCTATAATAACCACTCCTTGAACATGGAGTATATAATCAGTTAGCAGATATCAATAGTTATAGAGAGGGCCATTGAACAATTTCAGTAATGAGTGAATTATTCGACCAAATGATAAACAGAGGTTGTAAGGCTAGATCAGTGTATCAACGTAATTTGACATTTGTTAAATCACTGGCGGCTAGATTATAGTTGAGATCGATGTCTAAGATTTGTCCAATTTGTTGATATTGATTACTTGTTAACTCCTTAACTCCTTAGATTAGATAGTTAATTTATTGGATAGAACTGAGCCTTTGTGCTGGTGGTTAACAATGCTTCTCGAGCTTATACAGCCTTATCCTTAGTAACAAAGTTGTTCAGTTGATATTCCTGCTCTGGGACAATGGTGTTAGTTTCTACAACATTGAATTGATGGAAGCCTTCATTGGTAGCGGTCTGGCTGAATGCTCGAGTGATGATATCTAAATTAGCTAATTTCACACTTGGCTTCCTTGACCTCACATAACTTCCATGTTTCAGTGATACATTTCCCTTTGCTAATTACTTATTATGATACTCCTTCAATCAAATGTACATAATATTTACTCTCCATTCTGGATGCTCTTTGTACTTGTAATGGTTCCCTTTTACAACATCTCAATAAAAGTTACTACAAAGAGAAACAGAAAATCTGTTAACAAAACAGAGGGAATTTATAGTCAGAGAATCTATTGAGAGGTGTCCCAAGCACCTGTTATATTCCTTAAATTTGGAGGAAATCCCCTTTCCATTCAGTTGACCACTGAGTGACATGTCAGAAAGGTTCATTCCTTTTTGGTGCCAATCACCTCGAGCAATCATGTACAGAAAGATCCTAAGCTCATGAAAGAGGAATAGATACTTTGACTTGCCATGCTATACTTTTTCTTCCTTAAATTGTCTGTCTTTTAACAAAGAATCTTACATAGGTACATCAGACCTCATCAGCTCCTTGCCCTATGTCCTATGTCCTATGAGCAAGCCTATCCTGAACACAGTATTCAGCTGGCCTTTCATTAGTGATAAGGAATGTTTAATGTAAACTTGAAACTTCATTCTGAGAACATTTTGGGCAATTTACAAAGCACTCCACCAATAACAATTGGACACATGGATTATATTGCTTTATCACCTGACCACTTCATTAGTGATGTCTATCATCATACAGCAGCACTTTATTGTAATAAACATAGAGCATGGGAAGAGATTCTGCATAGCTAGTATGAGAACTAGGCACCAAATTAAGAAGCAGAGCCTCAAATCTGTGGATTATTACCTGAGCCATGTGGTAGCGAGTAAACAAGATTAGAGAGGTGAATGTGTGGTTGAAAGACTGGTACAGTAGAGTGAGTTCCAGTTCATGGAGCACTGGTGCCAATGCTGGGGAAAGTGGGATCTGTACCAGTGGGACAGACTATACCTGAACTGTGCTGGGACTGGTATTCTTGCGAACCACATAACTAGGGAAGTAGAGTGGATTTTAAACTCAATCGTGGGGGCAAGGGCCCAAATTTGGGAAGTTGTGGTGAATCAAAATGTGGGGGAAATGCAACAGGAGAAGGAATTAATGTGGGAAAAGATAAGCAGACAATGACAGGAAAGGACAGAATGCAGACCCAAGAACAGATAAGACTAAAGATTAAAAGGACAAAACTTAAGATAGGAAAAGTTTCTTCAGATTTTTAAAAAAAGAAAATGGTTAACAAAGTAAGTAAAACAAAGCATCTAAATGGTGAGAGTTCAGAGCTGTAAAGTGCAGAGAGATCTGGGTGTCCTAGTGTATGAATCACAGAAGGTTAGTATACAGGTATAGCAAGTAATCAGGGAAGCTAATAGAATGTTATAGTCTATTGTGAGGGGAATTGAAGTCAAAAGTAGAGGTTATACTTCAGTTATAGAGGTCATTGTTGAAACCTCATCCAGAGTATCGTGTACAGTACTAGTCAGTGTACTTATAGAAGGATGTTAATCATTGGAAGCAGTCAGAGAATGTTTTCTAGACTAATACGTGGAATGAGCGAATTGCCTTCTGTGGAAAGGCTAGACAGGCTAGGCCGGTATTATCTGGAGTTTTGAAGAATCAAAGATCACTTAACCAAAACATTTAAGATTCAGAAGAGACTTCACTGGGTGGATGTCGAAAGCATGTTTCCTCTTGTGGGAGAATCTAGAACTAGGGAATCATAATTCAAAAATAAAGAGAGATCTATTTAAGCAGAGATGAGGAAACCTTTCTCTCAGAGAGTTGAGAGTCTTAGAATTCCCGTCCTCAAAATGCTGTAGATGCAGAATCTTTATATATTTTTAAGGCCGCAATAGATCAATTTTAATTATCAAAAGGCTGAAATATTATCAGGCATACACAGGAATGTAGAGTTGAGGTTACATTCAGATCAGCCATGATCTTATTGAATGACTAAGCAGTCTTAAAGGCCGAGTGGCCTACTTTTGTCCCTTGCTGCTATGATTGTACTGTTGAGGCATCAGTTATTTTTTTCTAGAGGTTGCTAAACACTACTTCCAATACTCACCAATCCAAGCATTGCATTTTAAAGGACGTAGTTTATCTCAATCCATTTCATCATATCATTTGTCTGCAAAGTCATATATTTCAAATGCCATTTCAATAATTAACCAAATAACTGATCAGGTTTGTGTTATAAAAAGATGTAAATTGATCAGAACTTTGTGGCTGTTTTTAATTCTTTAATTAAATTCATTAATGCATACATGTAACTTAGTAGGTAGTTAATATGAATCCGAATTCTGATGATGCATTGTTAGAATCAGCAGTCTTAAAGGCTGGACCTGAGAGGTTTTCATGCTTTAATAACGTTGTTGACGAGTAATAATATTATTGCAAAGAATTTGTGAATGATAATGGTAGCACTGTGGCCAGGTCTGCTGCATTATGGTGTTGCAATTATTCTTGTGTTATGCTCCTCCAGTTATGATACATGGATTCCAGCCAGCGAAATTGAGGCATCGGTTGAGGATCCCCCACCGACTGAGCGGCCCCGGAAGGTTTGCAGATTTGTAATTCCTGATCTATTCAAATGTGCACATTTGTAATATTTCGTAAATGAGAATTCAACAGATTTGGACATTTAGCAAATTACAGGTAGATTCAACAAGGTTTTGTGAAAAGGAAATCATATTTGACAAATTTATCAGAGTACTTTAAAGATATAACCAGCAGTATGAATAAGGGGCGTGTAATGTACTTGGATTGCCAAAAAGTACAACAGAAGCTTCTACTGCAGAAGATGGTGTTGGAATGATATATTGTATGGGTCGAGGATTGGCTCACTAACAGGAAAGAGTGTTAGGATAAGTGGGTTACTTTCACATTGGCAAACAACTGATGAATGCATTCGATGAACTGTATTGTTGCCAGATTTGCTGATGATACAAAGATAGGTAGGAAAGCAAGTTGTGAAGAAGATATAAAGAATCTGCAATGGTAATATCAATAAGTTCATTTAGTGGAAAAACATTTAGCGCACAGTATAATGTGGGCAATGAGAGATTTTCCATGGGGAAAAATAGAAAAGCGAGTTGTTTGAATAGAGAGAATGCTGTGGTATAGAAACGTAGAAGGCCATTTGACCCCTCAAGTCTGCTCTGCCATACAATATGATCATGGCTGAACATCGACCTCAATACTTTAATTCCCCACCCATCGTAATATCAGGGAAGTATTGCTGCAGATGTACAGGACATTGGTGAGACCACACATGCTGTACTATGTATTCTTCAGTGCCTCACTCAGGAGGTTAGACTTGCATTCAGAACAGTTTTGAGAAGATCCAAGAGACTGATTCTTAGCCTATGGAGGGTTGTCTTATGAGGAATGATTAGGCAGGTTGAATCAACGTTCTGTTCTGCATAGAGCAGATGAATGTGTTACTGGAGAGATGATGCAGCAGGGAGAGCTTAAGATTCTTGAGACATTGGGGCCAGTTTTGGGGGAGGTGTGATCTGTACAAGTTGGATGGGTTACATCTGAAAAGGAATAGGATCAACATCCTCATGGGGAGGTTTGCCAATGCTGTTGGGGTGGATTTAAATGAGATTGGTAGGGGATAGAATCGTGGCAGTAGTGCAGAGGGATGAGAAGATGAGAGGGAATTAAAAGTTAAAACACTAGTGAATCAGCCTGAGAGGCAGAAAAAAGATAGGTCAGATAAGAATGTGATAGCAGAACATTTAGAAATACATAATGAAATCATGCAGTGTCAGCATGGCTTCATGAAGGAAAATGATGCTTGACAAATTTACTTGAACCCTTTGAGGAGGTAACAAAAGAGATAAAGGAGAACCAGTAGATGTAATATATTTGCATTTCCAAAAGGTGTTCAATGAGGTTTCAACCATGAAGCTACGTAGTAAAGCAAGACACCGTGGTTTTGGACTAGTATATTAGCATGAAAAAAGATGAGCTGACTAATAGAATACAGAGAGTTGGGATAAAGGGTGCATCTTAAGGATGGCAACCTGAAGTGGTGTGCCACAGAGATCAGTGCTGGGGCCACAATTATTTGCAATATATATTCATGACTTGGATGAAGGGAGTGAATGTCAGTTGTCAAGTTTGTGGATAACACAAATATAGACAGGGATGCAAGTGGTGAGGATAACACAGAGAGTCTTCAGTGGAACATAGACAGGTTAAGTGAGTGGGCAAAAACTCAGCAGGCGGAATATAATGTGGTAAAATATGAGGAAAACCCTTAATGTCAAAGGACATAACAATTAGGATAAATAATTTTAAAAAAAGAAGCTTATGGCAGACACTGAGGGCTCAGTGTGGCAGACTCCCTGGAGGAGTATAAAAAGTACAAGAGGAAATTTGAAAAGGAACTAGGGAAGCTAAGTGTGCATGAGAACACACTAAGGTTTTGGAGTAGATTTGTAGCTCGGGTTGTGGATGTTGAGGTTGGTTGGCTCGCCAAGCTGGTTCGTTGTTGTTCCGCAGACATTTCATTACCCTGCTGGGTAACATAATCAGTGCGGCCTCCGATGAAGCGCCGTTGTGTTTTCCTGTCTGGTTTTTAAACTCTCGAGTCCGTTGAGCTGGATTACCTCGCTTCCAGTTTTCCTTCGCAATGGAGTGTGTATGGGGTCGAGTTCTCTGTGTTGGTTGATGGCTTTCTTTGTGGAGTACCAGGCTTCTAGGAACTCCCGTGCCTGTCTCTGCTTTGCTTGTCCAAGGATCTTGGTGTTGTCCCAATCAAATTGGTGGTTCTCCTTATCCATGTGGATAGAGATGAGTGAGTATTGGTCATGTCTTTTTGTAGCCAGTTGGTTTTCATGTACTCTTGTTGTTAATTTTCTTCCTGTTTGTCCGATGAAGTGTTTGTTACAGTCTCTGCAGGGAATCTTGTATATGACATTGGTCCTGCCCATAGTGGGTAGTGGATCTTTGGTTCGGGTGAGCAGTTGTCGTAGTTCTGGCCCTTGTACATTTTGTTGTTTTGTTAATTGGGTTAATGTGCAGATCATTTTCACATCTGCCCTGACTGCTCCTCAGCGTCCTACTCATTATATATCCTGTTTACAGAACAGTAGTGCCGATTGAGAGATGAGAGGCATTGTTAGAACGCATGGCTAGCAGAATAAAGGAAAACCTGAAGGGGATTTTTAAATATGTAAAGAGCAAGAGAATGAGTAGGGTCGATTAGGGACCATTGAGGTAATTTGGACCCAGAAGTTGTTGATACAGTCCTCAATGAGTTAGTCTTCACAGTGGAAAAGAACGATGCAGGTGAGGACTGTGAAATATTAGTGTATTACTCAGTGTACCCTTGACAGGGGGAAATGTGCACTTGAAGAGACCGAATCAATCAGCATGGATAGCTGTTAATGATAGTCAGCATTCGCTGTTAAGGGAAGGTTGTGTTTGAGAAATTTTGATAGAACTTCTTGAGAATAGACTGTTGATGAGTGATTTGGTGTTGTCTACTTGGGCTTTTGCAAGTCTTTTGATAAGGTCCCTCAGGCCGGTCAAAAAAGTAAGAGCTGTTTAGATCCAGGGCAAGGTGGCACGTTGAATCCAAAATTAGCTGAAAGGCAGGAAACCGAACGTGAGGGTAGAGGGATATTTCTGTGATTGGAAGTCTGTTTCCAAAGAACATCTATGAGTCTATAAGTTTCAAAGAATGAGAGGTGATCTTTTGAAACATAAGATTCTGAGGGAGTTTGACAGGGTAGATGCAGAGAGGATGTTTCTCCTTGAGGGGGAATCTATAACTAGGAGGCAGAGTTTAAAAATTGAGTCTACCATTTAAGACAGAGATGAGATGAAATTCCTTCTCTTCGTCTTTAGTCTTTGGATGTCTCTTCCTCAGAGCGGTAGAGACTGAGCATTGAATTTGTTCAAGGTTAATTTAGAAAGATGTTTAAATTAAAGGGAGTTGAGGGTTATTTAGTGAGGTGGGTGAAGGAGTGAGAGGAGGAAGACATGGTTTTGTGGCCACGATCAGATCAGCCACGATCTAGTTGAATAGAGGAGAAGGCTCAATGGACCACAATATCTACTCTTCATGTTTCTTATGATCTTATGGAACACACTGCCTTCAGTGGGACGGGTGTACTGGGTGTAAACCCAGTAGCAGGGCAGCTAAAAAGCACTCTGACTTGGATGGTCTTGAGCTTCATGAGTGATACAGTCCCCCAGTCTTCCAAGATCTCTGTGCTGGTCAAGGTTTTGGACCCTTGTACATTATGTTATTTTGTTAATTGGGTTATTGTTCAAAATTTTAAAATCAATAATGTCATGAGCGGAAGATTATAGGAACTGAGCCATGTGGGCTGTAGCGGGATTTGTGGCAGAACCGTGGGACAGGTCTGTCAAGGTGCATCTCGACATCAGGCCCAAATCACTGAATCTTTTATGCACTTCCTGAGAGGCGATGTGAGTCTCACTAGGCAGCAATGAGTTCCCAATTGAGCAGAATTATAGCTTGTTAAATGCCATATTAGTGCTGCAACGTACCTCATTAGTGTTCAATTTCCTATCTTCCCAAATGTATCAAACAAGCAAGATGTCAAGAATTCTTGACATCGTAGTCAGAGTGGGCACCTGGCAACTTTAACTCACTTTTTGCTCTAGAAGACCTCCATGTTGGACACTGGGCACTAGCCTCTCAGGACACACTCCATGGGCACCAGCCATAAACATATCTCATGTCTATACACATTGGGATCTGACATGCACCACTTTCCAAGAACGCTCATGATATGTCTCTGATCCACTTCTAAGGCACTCCTGCACTTCATTGCTGCACCAGCAACTAATATTGTAATGCTGCTGCAAGGCTGCTGTGTGTTCAGGGACACGCACCCCCAACCCATGAACTAGTCCGGGCTGCATCTCTGACTCTTCACTTACTCCCATAGCACTACTTGGATGTTCACAGCATCCTCGCCTTGTCTTGCTTTTTTGCATTGTGCCCCCTCAGACAGAGATATCAGGCTCACTGTACTGCTGTGTTGCCATGCTGTTTGGAGCAGATGCAAAGGCAGGAAGCTTGTTGATGTCAGCCATGCTCAGTCAAGTCGAGGGAGATAACCTACACTCGGGGGTCCTGGGCACAGCAAGTGAAGGGCAGCCAATGATACCAGTTCAGGGGCATGGGGATGGTCAGAGTCAGGATACTCTCCACAGACAGGCCACCACCCATCTTGAGTTTTTCTGCCCTACTGTGGGCCTTTCTTTTCCTGGAATAAGAGAGAGATGGGTATTGAGGGAGTTTAAAGTGGCGGCGCAGGTGGGGAGATGTCCCAGGCAGGTGAGGAGGCAGCCTAGAGGACATGCAGAGTCGGTGATATCATGGTTGGGGTGGGTAAGACCAAGTGAGGGAAAATGTTACAGACAATAGCGAGTGTGCTGGAGCATGAACCTTGGTGGGAGATAGGTACATTATCATACAGAAGATGGTGCCTCTCATGCTAGCTAGATGGAGAAGAACATTGACCTTCTTCCTACAATGCTGGACATTCTTCCAGGCGACTAAAACTTTAG